GAATACGTTGCGAGCAGAGCTGTACTGATGCCACAGGAAATTCGACTATGTCTTCTGCTTCAGGCGTACCGTTCAGGAACCTGACACGTAAATCGACAGCTCGAGAAAGAGCGTCGCCCACGATGTTAGACGATCCCTTCAGATATTCTATAGACACATCATAGCTCTGAAGCTCGACGACCCACCGTGTTTAGTTGTCCTGATTTTTATTGTGTTTTAACAGAAACATGAGCAGACGGTGGTCTGAGTAAATGGTGATATGATTACCGTATATGGTAGGACGGAAAAAGCGTAGTGCACTCACAACCGCGAGTAATTCTATATGGGTAAGACTCCATTTTTGCTGAGATTCCGAAAGTGTTTTACTAAAATAATCGATGGCAATGAACCGAGGGTCCATGCCACTCCTACCGCATATTGGCTGCCGTCGGAATTAAGGAAAAATAATTCTTCGTCGTGAGGGAACCCTAGACATGGCTTTGACGCCAGTTGAAGCATGAGCCGTTCGAAAGCTTGTTGCTGTTCCGGTCCCAATACAAACTTTGCTTTATCCTTCCAGAGAGCATACAAGGGAATGCGACCAGCGCAAAGTTTGGGATGAATTCCCTGAAAAACTTGGCCATGCCTACAAACCCTTTGACGGCTTTTGTTGTAGTAGTAGTGGGAAACTCTTTGATTGCTCGAATGTTCCAGGGTGCGGATGAATAGGGAGAGCAAGAAATTTTAGGACCTAAAGAGGTAATACGGAAGCGGACTATTTCTGTCGATTTCTTGCAGGATGTTTTGATGCTAAAAAGGCGGAATCGCACTTCGCGTAAGGACTGCCAATGATTGGGAAAATCTTCCTCATATGTGACTATGATAGCTAGATAGTTATTCTCTAAGCCTGCTAGGATACGTGCCATAGCTGGGAAAAATACGCATCTGCATTCTTGTGTCCAAGAGGAGGAATACAAATCGATAAATGTCACGTTGTGTTGCTCAACCACATTTTTGTTGACTTTCAGGAGAAAAAAGGAGCTGCACATACCCTGATGCCGGATCCAGAGTGGTATAGTATTTGTGACCGGCCCTCTTATATAGGACATCTTCAATGTGTGGCAGGGGTGGTGATCGGGAACAGTAACGTTGTTTTAGGGGCGAAAGTCTAGGCAGACTCTGGAAGAACCGTCCTTTTTCTTGACGAAAACAGTCTTGCGGACTCAAGGTGTGTCACTCTCAAAAATTCACCCAGCACGCAGTAATTTGTTGATGTGATCATCTAGTACTTTTTGGAACACAACGGGAATGCGTGGAGGGCGGAATCGGGTTTGGGGAGTACCTGTCGTAGTCTTAAAAACAATTTCCGACCCTTCGTAGGAGTCCAGATCATAAGAACCAGTGGAAATATGGTCATGAAACTCATAGAACAGCTGAGCCTGTTGGCTTCGCTCCTCATCAGGGACCACCGCATAGGACAGATCAACATTGCAGGAGCCGACAATAGTTATGGCTTCAGGGCGGTGCGAATTCCTTAGATCGCTAATCCAAACGTCGCCTAGCTGACGACCCTTCATCTTCATAACTGGTGTGAGCCGGCACGACTCCTGCTTTTTGGGCTTCCACACGAGTACCGATCCATCCTGCAAGACGCAATTTCCTGACTCGTAGGTGCACTGGGCTAGGTTTCCAACTGAAGAATCAGGAAAAATGGAACCGTGACGCATATGGACGACGGTTCGGATCAAGAATCATTTAGAAGCCGTAACGTTGCGTTCTGAACAGCAACCGAAATGAGCTGATGGCCACTGGATGATTAGTGAGTTGGAAGTTGCCCAAAAGTCATCTGATGGGGTCGTAGTACCGTGTTGACACTTGTAGTGCTGGGCCATAGGTTTGCAGGATTCCAGGGACACGACGGACTGAGTTTCGGTCAGGTTCTGGTACCGCGTTCCAAAAAAGTTAACTGAGAAGGTGACCCACTGGACAACTATTTTACACAGGTGTGCCACCGTATCGTAACTCGGGAGGTAGATGTGAACAGACAATGCTCTGGAGGTTTCTTTAACCGACGGTGTTATCCATGAGCAATTATACGAAGTAGGAATTCAAGCGAGGGTATAAGCATGATTGTACGAACACAACATGCCGATGCCGGAATTGATTCATCTATCACGACACAAACAAGCATGGAAATGGTGAGAAGTAGCTCGACTGGAGGCATGGGAACGGTGGACGAGCGAGAAGCAGAATTGCCAAAAGCGGAGACTCGCTAGATCTCCGTTCCATTTCACTGAAGCATTAACTCTAGCATTAAATCTTTCGAGTGCTGATTTTCCTGTAGGGAATTCGAAAGGGCTCGAATCCAATCGCGAGCCCGAGAGCTCTCTATCTCTTTTAGCGAGAAGGTGGCAAGGTGGCAGATATTCGCCTGAGAGTAGTTACGCTCACTTGATAAACTGCGTCGAGTTGGCTTATCTGCTGTCTGGCGTGGAACCCTAGGTGACGGGCACGGACCAGAAAAGTGCCCAATGCCTCCGCATTTAAAGCAAGTATTATTCGTTACCGTACGACACTGCCGATCCCTCGACTGCTGAGGAAGCTGAGCCCGCCCCCCGGGCAAAGAAGAGATTGGCGCCTAAAGTTTTGTCCTGTCGCCGATGTAGCCTTTGCTTCTATTGTTTGGCCTGGCTGGGAGTGTCTAATAAGGCGATCGGCGGTGACTTCAGCCAGGTGCTGCTGCACCTTTTGTGCTCTTGACGACAACGTGCCCGCCAAGTTCGCGGATGCTGGCATCTCAGAGTCTGACTTGGTGTCAGGGCTACTACTGCTCTGGATTTCGTCGAATGAGAGCAGGTCATGGGTGGTCCATAATCCAGTGAGTAAGCACACAAAATAAAGTTGGAGAACAAGGCTCGAATGACCAATGCAAAGCTACAGATGTTAAAAGGCGAGGGCCTCTCTTGAAAGCCAATGATGGGAGACGAATGACCGCAAAAAGTGGGAGGAGACTGTTGCTTACCTTGTGCCAGAAGGCAAGAAACAAATGGGGGTTGCCAAATGGGCGTGGCTCAGTTCTGGTGGATATCTCCATCATTGGATCAGTAAGTGGTTACGCAGCGCACTCGATAGACTCACCATATGTTGTCAAAGGATCGCGTCGATGACAGTACGCCAGAGATGGCCAGCAGGCGATGTTTACGTGCTCTCGATAGGTGCAACTTTGGGGAGCTGGAAACCAACTCATGCAACGGCTTTGGCTTTTCAGCGGGCGAGGTCTACTCGCAAACTGGCTTCGAAAACGGACCCTTCGGGTCCTCTAGAGTGGAATCCGTATGAAAAGGCACCAACAGGCCGAAAGACGACATGATTTATACAAACTAATAAACATGGTTATATTTTTGTTTTTTTTNTTTTTTTTCTGAAATTATGGGAGAACGTTTCAACTGAGCAAAATAATACTGAATGCTACTACAGATAGGCCTACCGCACACTTCCTGGAGCCGTCAACAACACGATTAAACGTCCCTGAAAAACTATACTTCAAAACTATACTTCGTACGGATTACTCCGACGTATTACCAGGATACACCGATCTACTGCTCACTACAAACCCTAGGCTACTCTACAGAACCTCGAGACAACCTCGATATTGTACAATGTAATAAAATACAGTGACCAAGATAGTGGAGGAAATGAGCTGGGCTGCCGTCCTTGGTCCTCGGTGCGAGCCTCCATCGACTCCTCGCTTCTGTTCTCTTGTTCGCCGCTCCTGAAATTCTGCGGTGAATCATCTGAAAACATAATAATCTGATCGCCGCGCTAGTACAGCGCGGCTTACAGTATGGGAAACATACGCATTCGACCCGTCATTGCAGTTCCGAGTGGAAGTCAATGTGGTGCGCGTCTCTCAGATGGGATTGATTGAGGCACAAAGACTTTATCCTTTTATCCTTTATCCAGCTTTCAGTAAAGGTGGAACTTAAGGAAAGCCTTCAAAAAATACCGAAGGTGCATGTTATTTGAAATAGCAGTCGCTGTCCTCCTACCAGAACCCGATAGATATCAGCAACAATGGAATTATTGCCTCCATAAATGATTAAGTCACCTATTCGTCCAAACTTTCGAGAAAAGTGCTGTTTTGTACAACTTGTGCCAACGCAGAAGACTTCGCCCACCTGTCGAGTTCTAAATCGAGACGAGCACTGCCTGACCTTATTGAAAGCTGTTCATGGACTTGTCGAGGGTCACAACCGATTCTGCGTCCTCGCAATCGGAGATCAAGTCGCAAATAAGGGTTTTATTGTAACCTCACCCAAAAGAGTGACACGCTGCAGGTTTTGACTCCAAAAGTCACGCTCCATCTTAATTTGCTGACTTCCGAGCTCGTTACCGATGTATGCTATGACTTTTGACACCGGGTTTCCGTTTTTTCCTAGACATTACCTTTCTTAAGCTTTTGAGTTTCCCTTGTCTCCATTTGAACTTAGCATTTTCGGATAGCAGTTCAAACCATATTGTTGTTATGTAATACTTCTCTGACTAGAGGATGAAAGTGGTAAAATCGCTGCGACCGTATCCGCTTTAGTTATGATGGAAAGTCTACGAATTTAAAACTAAGATAGCGGAATTATGTTGTTTTGCTGCAAAATGTTCCGTCCCAACTTAATGTGACATTTGATGGAATTGTTCCGTTCTTGGATGGCTCGGACAAGTTGCTCGACGTCGTAGAAACTGCGCTCTGGTGGGCAGCGCCTCTGGGCATTGGTACACATGGAATCCGATGGCTGCGAAGGGTCGCGTCGAGGATATACTGCCAGTTCACACTATCTTGCATTTGTTTGCCCTAAGCTAACTTACACTCTAGACTGTTCACATAAAACAGTAACTGGTTGATGTGATGTATCCGATAGTTATGGAGGTCATAGAAGGTCAGACCAATAAACTTTTACGTTCTCCTATAAATAGTCGAACGAATCAATTGAAAATACTGGTCAACAAAAGATTAGTTATCACGAGAAATGTACTCACTTGTTACCTGCCTGCTTGTTCTACCGTTCTCCTTGTCGCAGTTCCCAGGTTTCAGACCAAGGCGTGAGTTTACAAATTTTGCAATCGAATCGATTAGGGTGAACCGCAGTGTTAGATTTTTAAGTGCAGCATTTTTTGTAAAATATTATTTCTTAATTTCAGCCTCTATCGGAGTAGGAGGACTCGGGAGCGGATTCGGTGGTCCGGGAGCTGGGTGAGTTTTTTATGCAAAGTATAATTCTGCTCGTCTCGAACTTACATACCCAAATGTCCTATCATTTCAGTGCCTTATTCCCATCCGGAGGTGGGCGTAGCTATGCAGTAAGGGGTCGCCTGGTTTGTGGTATCCAATCAGCTCAAGGGGCGCGAGTTTCGTTGTGGGAGAGCAGAGGTGAGACAATTCATAATTTTGGAACTGACCGAGTCAGCTTTCCGTCTGTGCAGGTGGCGGTCAGCCAAACGTCTACGATGAAGAGGAAATCAGTGCATCCGGAATAATTGGTCTGAAAGCCGAGTTCCACGGAAGCAGCTGGAGTGGTGGCAGTAACGGAAACTTGTTCATGACAATCATGCACAACTGCGATGTAAGTGCAATACTTCATCTTATTCTTGCTTAGTTTACTACGGGGAAAGTGATCGCAATGAGTAAATCAACCTTGCTAGTTGAGCGTTCGAAGATTCCCACNTCTCAATTCGTACAGGCATAAATCAGTATTATTTGTGAAAATTGTTCGAACGATGTCGGATTCTGGGAATTTTAACAGTTGTTATGTCAACCCATATTAGATAAAATTCCCGAGTGAAAACAAAATCAACGTTTTCAGGGGAACCGACAGCTGACCATTGCACTTCCACCTTCTTATTACAATCAAGGGCCAGTTGCTATTAAAACGTTCGACCTCGGTATGTTATATTTGTGCATAATCTGCCAACGCAGTGTAGAGAAATGAAGTATCCTCGAGGATTACTTTCGTGAAACCCACTTCAGGCACCATCAATCTGGAAGCTCGGTACTCTGAGGGCAACGAATTTGGTGGCGCAAGGTTTGATGGAAGCAGATTTGGACAGTTTGGAAGAGGACCCCAACCAATTTTGTGATTACGACAAAGGATTGTTATTTTGAATAAACAGTTTTTTTCACTACTGAGACGTCGATATACTTTGACACCGCGATAAGCGCCGTGGAAATTGTGCAAGAAAGGCCTGAAGTTTGCTAACATAGCTGTCTCTTGTCATAGTGCTGCGAAAGCAAACATTAAGCTCTGCATGCACCTTTTTTTTATTTATTTATTTATTTGGACATGTTGAAGTCTCAACACGTAAAAATAAAGAAATCGAACAAAACCCAAAAAGACGAAACTCTTGTAAAAACAACAAACTGCCCTAAAGAAGTCAGATAAAGTCGTTTACACGTTTCTTGAAAGTAGTATACTTCAACGGATAAAGATCCGAGCGCAGTACAGAATTGAAACATGTGCGAGCTCCAAGACTGAAAAACTTTGACCTGCATTGGGTCTTAGCATTTGAAGTCGATAATTTGGAAGAGGCTCCCCTCGTGTTTGATGGCAACACAGTAAAGAAATCAATCTTCACTAAGTTCCTTAGGATTTTAAAGACCTTAAGCACATCATACC